CTCGCGGAGGCGGCGACCGCTGGGCCGCCGAGCCCCGGCTTCCGGAGCTCTCGCCGGGCGGCCCGCAAGCGGCCCGCGGCCGCCGAGGCAGGCGCGGGCCGAGTGCTCCGCCGCCGCTGAGCCGCTCGGCCACAGGCGTGGCTCGCCGGCTGCGGCGAGAGTTCCAGGCCGCCCTGCGAGGGGAGACTCGGCGGCGCCGCTGCGTCTTCCTGGAGCTCTTCGCCGGATCAGCAGGCGTGGGCCGACAGCTGCGGCAGGCCGGGTATGCCGTCGTGTCTTTGGACATCCAGATGGGCGTGCACGGGAACGTGTTGCTGAGAGTGGTTGAGAGGATCCTGAAGGGGTGGATCTCCTCCGGCGCGGTGCTGGGGGTCTGGCTCGGAACGCCGTGCACCACGTGGTCGCAGGCGTTGAGGCAGCCGCTTCGTTCTGTGTCCTGCCCCATGGGTCTCGCCTCTCTCACGGACGCTCAACAAGCACGATTGAACGTTGGGAACGCAACCTTCCATGTGTCTTGTCGGTTGATTGACTGTTGTCGAAAAGCAGGGGTACCAGTGTATCTTGAGAACCCTGACGGGTCGTTGATGTGGCAGGCTCCCCGTTTGCAGCTACTGAGACGCGCCGTCGATTGTTCTGAGGCTCGCCTGCATCAGTGCCAATTCGGAACCCCTTGGAGGAAATGCACTCGTATAGTTGCTTGGCGAGGTGGCAGCCTCTTTCGTTTGCGAAGATGGTGCCATGCTGACGGTAAGCGGTGCTCTCGAACCGGCCTGCCGCACCAGGAGCTTTCAGGACACGCTCCTGGAGGTAAGCATTGGACTGCCATCGCCGCCGCCTACCCTCGCCAACTGTGCCGTGCCATCGCCTCGACCATGATCGATGCCGCTGAATCGCTGCGGGTATCTGTGTTGTGGAATAGATTTAAACAGTGAAATTTGTGAGGCTGATGGGGTAGAAAATGCCACCCATCTTACCCTATCGCTTTCGGGAGGTTGCGATTTTTCGGCCCGGGGCCATTTTTTTTCCATTCGGGCCTGGGGGTCTCCGAGTTGCGCCCGGGCGCTTAATCTTTCAACAGCCTGTGGAAGATGCGCCTTGCTCCAGACACGATGAAAACATGTGCCGGCGATCCCCGGGGGGGCAAGGCCAAGTCACTGACCGCTTCTAACAAGCTGAAGTGACGTGCCAGGCCTTCGAGGGCTCGCCGCATCGACGTCATCCGTCGACGTGTATGCTCAAGTCTCCCCCCCTCCCGTTCCCGTTTCCTTTGCCTCCCCTTCGCTTTCTGCTCGCTTTTCATTCCTCGACAAGTGGGTAGTTGCCTATCTGAGTTTGGTCTCTATTCACTTTTTTTTTTAGTTACTTTGCAGTTGCTTTCAGGGAGTGGCGGGAGGGTCTCCGAGTTGCGCTTACTGGGGGCAGCCGACCTTTTCATAATCTATTCAACAGGCCTTGTGGAAAATGTAAGATGTGCCTTGCTCCAGACACGATAACAAAACAAACAAAAAAATGTGCTGGCGATCCCCGGGGGGCAGGGCCAAGTCTCTCTCTCTCTCTCTCTCTATATATATATATATACACACCCGGCTGCAGCGTCGCTTGGACGATCGGTTTTTCAGGTCTAGGTGTCTACGTCCGCATGCCAGTATGTAAGTTGGCTAGCGCGCTCTGTTGCACTGAGTCTTTCTCAGGGCATGGATCGCCCTCGACCCTTGCGACCCGACTAATAGTCCTCTTTTCACTCCTAACTCCCCTGTGGAAATTGTATGCGGCGTGCCAACGCATCTGTCCGTCCCTGTCCGGCGGGTCTTTGATGTGCCGCAGCCTTCCCAGCGGATGCACTACCCGCGTTCACGGCAGGCATTGCCGCCAACTCCACAACGTTCTTGGCCTACTGGCTAAAGAGATTGCCACAGTCACCAAGGGTACAAACAGGTAGCGGACAGCCCCGCTAGCAAGTCGGCCGTTTTCACAGGATAGAACAGCTGCGCACCTCTACCCACGGCCTGTGCCAGCTGCTGGGCGATCCCAGCCGCCGCCAGCCTGCCCTGGCCGCAAGCGCCAGCTCTCAGACAGGCCGACGATGCCACAGCGCGGGCGGGGGGCCTCAGGTCGCCGGCAGCGCGGGCTGTGCTTCTTCGCTGTTTTCGACCGCCGCCCGCGCCAGGAGTGCTAGGCTGGCTCCGTTCTGGAGCCCGGCACGCTCCCGCCCGCGTCGTGCGCGGATCCCCCTTCTGACCCAGCCTGCCTCCAGGCCGATTCTGCGCTGCTGCCGCCGCATCTCTCATCTCGCCGTGGAGGAATCTGACCCAGCCTGCCTCCAGGCCGATTCTGCGCTGCTGCCGCCGCATCTCTCGTCTCGCCGTGGAAGAAGCGGGTCCTGGGGGAAAACGGGTCCCGAGGTCTTCGCCGTTGTCGGGCTCTCGGGGCCCTCCACGGGCCCCCGGGACCGTCAGAAAACGACCGCGAGGAGGAGGAGGAGGAGGAGGAGGAGGAGGAGGAGGAGGAGGAAGGAAGGAGGGTCCCGGGGCCGCTTCCCCCATGCTGAGGTGAGAGTCCTCGTGCTGTGCCTCCTCCCTCAAGGGGGTCCCGCCGCCGCTCACGGGCTGGCGCGGCGCGCGCGCGCACGCCTCGGATGCACGCCCGCGTGCAGCTGCTCTGCCTGTGCCCGCTCGGTGCCCGGACCAGGGGCGCCCTCGATGGGCGCGAAGTTCGTCGCGCTTCGGCTCCGACTCCTCATCCTCCTCCCCCTCCTTCTCCTCCCCCTCCTCCTCCTCCTCCTCCTCCTCCTCCATCCTCTACTTCCTCATCCTTTTCCTTCCTCCTCCTCCTCCTCCTCCTACTCCTCCCTCCTTTTCCTCACTCCGTACCTTCCTCCCTCCTCCACCTCCTCCTCCCTCCTCATCCTTTTCCTCCTCTTCCTCCTCCTCCTCCTCCTCCTCCTCCTCCTCCTCCTCCTCCTCCTCCTCCTCCTCCTCCTCCTCCTCCTCCTCCTCCTCCTCCTCCTCCTGGGCCGGCGCGAGAGCGCGAGGCCACTCGCGCTCCGCGTCTCGCGCGCAGCGCGGAGGCCCGCTCCCGCCGGCAGCGCTGCCCTTCCGCCTCGGGGGGCCCCCGCGCTCGTGCGCGCCTCCGCGGTTCCCGCGGCGCTGCCTCGCAGAGCCCGTGCTCCGCGCGTGCCCCCCGCGCTCGCGCGCGCCCCCGCGGGGCGGCGCCCCCGCTCTGGGACCTGTGCCTCTGCGCAGCCTGACGTCCTCAGCGCGCCGCCTCACCTTCCATCACTTCCATCCTCCTTCACCATCCTCCTTCCCTCCAGTTTCCTCCTTTCCTCTCCTCCTCCTCCTCCTTCCCCATCCTCCTCCTCCCACTCCCTCCTCCCCCCTTTCCTCCCTCCTCCTCCCTCCTTCTTCCTTTCCTCCTCCTCCTCCTCCTCCCCCTCCTCCTCCTCCTCCTCGGGGTGCTGCGGGGGGGGGACACGCAGCCGCCCCGCAGGCCAGGCCTGCGTGCAGCGGCGTGCCGGCGCGCCCCGCGTGCACGGCGGCTCCGTCGGCGGCGTCGGGTCCGCCTCGCCTCGCTCACTCCTGCTCTCGGCGTCGCTCGGGCGTGTGGATGTTTGCTCGGCGAGAGCCATCGAGGGCCATCCTGGGCCATCGAGCAATACAGGCACGCACGAAGCCGGAACGTGCACGGGAAGTGGACGTCCGAGCGACGGCAGGTGCCAGCGTCCTGCTTGGATCTTGCCTGGATCTTCTCTCGTGCGCCTTCGAGAGCACTCCGCTCTCCCCCCTGCGGCGGCGAGCCCAGGAGGGAAGCGAGAGGGGGCGGGCCACGAGGCTTCCCAAGAAGGCGCGGGAAGCCCGGCCGCCGACTGAGGAGGCCTGCCCCTCTCTCTATTTGCCCCCCTGGGCTCGGCTGCGAGGACCCATGGGGAGACGAGGCAGCGCCGACTTGGCAGCGGCTGCCCCTCAGCTTTCTGCCGTGCCAGCCCGCGCGTCTGGCAGTCGGCCGAGTCAGCTTTTGCGCAGCGTGGCCCTGCTCACGAGAGGGGTCGGCCTGAAACAGTGCGTAGGCAGGCGGTAGCAGCCTCATCGTGCTCAATTCGATTCCTGGCAGATTGCCAGGCCTCTGGAGACCTGGGACTGAAAGGATCTCTGCCGGGGCACAGGCACCTCGGGTTGAACTGAAACCCCCGTTTTGGGCCAGCTCGTAATCACAGGCCCTTTGGCACCACATCTTAGGCGCCCTGATCTGCCAAGACCATGGTGTCTCGCACCGCAGCCAGCTTGGAGTCTATCCTAGTACCTCTTCCTCGCATATGTTCTCATCTCTCAAACTCGCCGCGGATTGCGTAGGTGGGAGATATCAAAGACTGAACAAAGTCTCTCCTGGCTGAGGTCGCGTGCCCGTCACTGCGCCTGCCATTCTTCTCATGCCGCACTGTGGTCACTTTCGTGCACTGATCGTTCACGACGCTTTCATCTCGCAGTCCAGCATGCGCGTCGATGCCATTCTCGCTCTCTCTCTCTTTCTCTCTATATATATATATATGTTTCTTCATACAGTGTCCATCTTATCCATTATATCACCCAGCAGGTTAACAACTGTTCTTGATGCACTGGCGCGGGGGCTTGATACCTACGATGCTATCCGTCGTGGCTGTTGCAATCCTCTGGCGTAAGACTTGTCGTGCTAGCCTAACACGGGTTTCTCGGTCGGTCCCCGGGGTAACTATACATGTGAGGCCAACGCTTACACCCCTCCCCAGGCTAGTTACCTATGTTCCGTTTGATGTTCTGGGAGTTTCTTGGAATCTTTGCTTTCGGAAGTTCTCCATTGGGCAATAATGCTATCCAATCAGAGGCACGCATTTATACTGCCCTTGTCTGGTCGAGAAGCCTTACCCCCTCAATTGCCCCCTCTCAGCTTGATGCCGAACTTTCTGCCCCTCGTGCCTATCCGCCTTACGTTTGTGCCATTCAGATAACCCCCCCTCAAATTTGCAGGAGAAGCAGCTCGAGGAAACCCTGCTGAAGCAGGAGAAGCAGACCGAGGCCATCGAGAAAATGATGGAGAACCTGCAGACGCTGATGGTCCCATCCCCCCTCTCTCGGCCACGCGCAGAGGGGGTTAGGGGGAGGGGAGACTGATTCTTAGAAGCACCCCTGCTTCTTGGAAGGCGCGGGCCTGATCTATCGATGTAGGGCCGACGCCTTCTAAGAAGCAGCCTCCCTCTAAGAAGCCTTCCCCCCTCCGCCTACCCCCTTGTGCGCGCCGCCAATTATCGTCCCATCCCTCCCGCATCCATGCCCGTGCTTCCCCTTCCCCTCTCTTCCCTTGCCTCCCGCCGGGTGGGCTGACTGCCCCAGGCGCTGGCGGCCTCGAGTTCGAGTTCCAAGGGGGTTGCTGTCCTAGATGAACTTGTGCTAGTTTTCCCTCCAGGGTATTCCGCATCCAATTAATGTTGTGATCACGCACTGACTGTCATGCCACCGTGCTCAAGCACCTCCCCTCCCGTCTTTCTCCCCTCCCGTCTATTCCCGCCCTGGCTCCTTTCATCTCTCCTGCTCTCCTTCCCTTCCGCCCTGGGCGAGAGCGGTTTTGCCAATGATCCCGAGTGAAGCCAGCTCCGTAGCAGTGGCCAGCAGCATCTTGTTTCGGGCCGGGCGAAAGGGGGGGATTGGGAAAGGGGGGGTTACGAAATTTGCTGCATGCAGCTGGTTTCGGCCTCACCGAGGGGCCGATTCCTCGATACATAGCTCCATCCGGCGCCGGGAGGCGCCGGGAAAATCAGCTACGTGAGCTGATTCTCAAACCCCCCCTTTGCTATCCCCCCCTTTCGCCCGGCCCGAGAAGCCAGCTCCGTGGCAGTGGCCAGCAGCATCTTGCTGTTGAGGCGAATCGCTGGCTTCGTTGCTGCGTGCCACCCTCTCGTGTTCTTCCGGCGGGGGGCCGCAGCTCCGGCCCGCGCGCCTGCGCTCTCGCCCTCTTCCCTTCAGGAGAGGAAAAAACATCACAGACCGGGCGGTCGAGGCCGGGAAGGGTGGGATTGGGAAGGGGGGGGTTGTGAAATCTGCCGCAGCAGCTGGTTTCGGCCTCAACGAGGGGCCCATTCCTCGATTCAACATAGCCGCCTCGGCGTACGGGAGCGCGGGAGGATCAATCATGCTACGTGAGCTGATTCTCAAACCCCCCCTTTGCTATCCCCCCCTTTCGCCCGACCCGATCATACATCTCGTTTCAAGGTTAGTGCAGATGGGTTGCACCAGCTTGCCGCTGGGACGGCTGAGAGTTGTGCCCCATCCTCGGGAGGAGTGTGTACCGACGGTGGGGCTCGGGGCCATCTCATCGGCGGGGTCGCGGTGCCGTTGTTGAGGTGGTCGAGGGTTTTCTCGGGTGCATGCACTGCATGAGCCTCGAGGTAAACAAAACAATGCAGTTTAGTCTCCCTCCCTCTCCGCAATCGCTCATGTGAGGACTGACCCACATTCCGCTTTTTCTACGCAGGATTGTCCCCAGTGGATTTCCGATATGGTCTGTTCCAGCGTGAACGTTCTCAGCCTTTCAATCACTGTGCTCCCGCTAGAGCGGTGGTCACATCTCAATGCGTTTCAGAATCGGGGCTTTGCCCCCGTCTTGCAGGGCGGCGCTCTCGCCCAGGCGCGGGCCATGTTTCTGCATCCGAGTTCTCCCTCGTCGTTGCTCCCCCTCTTTTCACCGCGTGCCCATCCTCCTGTCCATCTGCACAGCTCCCCTGTCTTATTGCGCATGACGCGTTGGGGTCACTTGAGGGATCCACAGGTCCGCTGAGATACCCGTTAGCGGAACGAGAAGGATTTTTGTTCTCCATTTTCTGGTGTGTGTCTCTCTCTCTCTCTCGTTTCCCTCTCTCTTTCTGATTTGTTCAACATGTATGATTTGATACATGTGTATATATACATATATATATATACAGGTATCGTACACTCTCTACGATATATTATCATACTCACCGTTATCGCAGGTGCTCTCTCTCTCACTCTCTCTCTCTCTATCCCTGTCTCTCTCTCTCTCTCTCTCACTCTATCTAACTGTCTTTCTGTTTGTGTTACAGGGTTACGCCATTCCGCGGACACCCAGAAGAGGAGATGTGCGGCATCCGATGTCGTGTGTCGTGTTTGGTTGTCGCTTCCCGCCGTGCTGCCTGCGTGTAGTTGTTGCTGGTTCGTTTTTCTGTTCCTCCGCGTCTGTTCTTTTCAAGCCCCCCGGCCCGGGGTCTTTGAGGGGGGCCTCTTGGGGGTCTTGAGGCCATTTTGGGCCAGCCTGTGGGGCCTCTCGCGCCGTTTTGGACATGCAGGCTCCCGCAAAAGGGGAGAGCGCGAAAGCTATCGTCAACCAACGGACAACCACAATGGTTTTTAATTGTTGAGGGGCCCTCTTTCGGCACATTTGGCCGCCTTGAGGGAGCCATCTCGTAACAGCGGTTTGAGCATTTTAGCGGCAACGGAGGGTGGATTTGGAGGCCCCGAGAGTTCTGGAGATGGGTTTTCGAGCTCGTCCCCTTGCCGCCCCGCCTCCCCAACTGTTGGATTCTGGGCACCAGGGGAGGAGGAACGGGTGAGGACACCCCCAGGAAGCGGGCGTCCGCGGATTTGCTCCACCCTCTGAGCTCGCTCTGCTATCTGCTCTGCGATGTGTGTTGTTTCGTGTGTGTCTCTCTCTCTCTCTATCTCTCGTTTTTGTTGTTCAGTTTTGTTGTTATTTGTTATGTGTGTTGTTATTTGTTTGTTGTCTCTCTCTCTCTCTCTCTGTCACGAGCCCGCGTATGTACATATATATATATATATAGTATAACTATCACGCTCAATCAGATGATTATGCATTACTTTGGTTGTTGCTGTATGTATGCTCGCTCCGTTCTCGGCGCAGGAACTGCCCGGCTGCAAGAGGACCGGCGGAGGGGGGCGGCCGCGAAGGACGGGGAGGGGGGCGGAGGACATCCCCCCGCGACCCCTGCCCGCACAAGGGACGGGCGTCCGCGCTGGCGCGTGCGCTCGGGGACCTCGGGTCGACGTCGCCCCAGCTTGCTCGTGCTCCTCTAGGCCTCCTAGATGGAGTCCAAGTAAATGGGGTCGGAGGATCGCGCCGCATCGTCGATGCATCAGCGATGCGGCTCAGTGCGGATCCCGATTTTTTTCACGCTGGCGTCGCCGATGCATCGCCGATGTCGCCGATGCATCGGCGATGTATCGCCGACATATCGGCGATACGGCGCGATCCTCCGACCCCATCTTCTCCGACCCCATTTAGGAGGCCTCTAGCTCCGTGCGCGTCGGCCCCGGAGGGGCGACGCGCACACCCAGACGTCTTATACACTGATGTTGCGTTGGGCCTGTCCCTCCACAGGAGGAATGCTCGAGAATGGTCGAAAAGTAGTCTGGGGGCGGTTTCGTCACTGCGTTTGCCCCTTGGGGGGGGGGGGGGGTATGTTCTGAGCAGTGTCCAGTTTTCGCTCCAAAATCCCCCTGTAGGGGGGCACGCCCGACATAATACTAATGGTAGGCTCCGTGGCGGGCTTCCTCTCGCCATACCGCCCCGGGCGATCTGCTATGAGATTGGCGTGGCGTGTGTTCGAGGCGGTCGGGCGTGCGCCTGCAGCACAAGCACACAGCACCAGCAGGTCATCCTGCGCCCCGTGCAGACACCCGGGACAGATCCTTGAAGAGTTCCCGACCGTGTGGCCACGGAAACGAAGCCGGTTGCACGCTTCCGATTTGGTGGCTCCCCATTTCCCATTCCCCCCTGCCTCACCGAGCGCGTTCCACTGCTCGCAAAGTGCCTCCTCGCAAACGTCTGGAGCACATGATGGATTCGACGCGCTTGGTCGCAAAGCCGCCGCGGCGGATCCAGGCCGTTTTCAAGTTGTCACTTTGCGAGTGGTGGAGCGCGCTTGTCTACTTTCGTTTCACCCGAGAGGCACTGGGCCTCCCCGGTGCCTGGCACGCACAGAAACGAAAACTGGGTCGCTCCCGGCGCTGGGAGGCGCTGGGAGCACCGGCCCCGCGAGGTGGTCCCCTGACCTCCCTGCACTGCCCCCCCGGTCGTCCGACCCGAGCCTTCCGTCGGGCGTGTCCCTCTACAGGAGGAATGTTCAAAAATAGTCAAAAAGATAGCCTGGGGACGTTTTTTGTTATTGTTGTTGCTGCTGCTGATGTTGCTGTTGCTGTTGCTGGTGCTGTTGTTGTTGTTGTTGTTGTTGTTGTTGAACATTATTACTTCTAAGAAATAATTATTGTTGGGACCCCTGGTGCGCGACCCCCCCGCCGCGCCTAGGCCGCAGCTACATTTTCATCATTTTCGCGAAAGCTTCAGAAAAGTGGATTGGTCCGGATCCGGTTGTTTTGTTGTACTCCGTTTCCCTTGCCAAAAAACACTATAAAATGAAAATTCTTGTTCTTACTTGATCAAATTGCAAGAATCCCTTGCAAAAAATAAGGTAAAGTGGACATTCGTGCGCGCAAGACGAAATCCTTCCAAAACCTTAGGTTTCGTAGCGATTTTAACATAAAAACATCAAAAAACCCAATGGTTTTTTAAGAAAAAATTGTCAAAATGTCCTTCCGCGCGCGCTGTCCGAATCCCACAAAACCAATGGTTTTTCAACATTTATGTTACATGAGCTCGCGCGAGCTACTTTTTCTTGTTCTAACATAATCAATTTTCAATAATCCCTTGCAAAAAATAAGGTAAAGTGGACATTCGCGCGCGCAAGACGAAATCCTTCCAGAACCTTAGGTTTCGTAACGATTTCAACATAAAAACATCAAAAACCCAATGGTTTTTCAAAAAAAAATGTCCAAATTTCATCCCGCGCGCGCTGTCCGACTTCCACAAAACCAATGGTTTTTCAACATTTATGTTACATGAGCTCGCGCGAGCTACTTTTTCTTGTTCTAACATAATCAAATTTCAATACTCCCTTGCAAAAAAAAGTAAAGTGACATTCGCGCGCGCAAGACCAACAAAAAACACGACGATCTCAGGAACTTGCCCCAAAAATGTGACCAACTCCGCTCTCTCTGTCTCTCTCTCTGTCTGCTCTCTGTCTCTCTCT